AAAAAATTCAAAAATTGATAAAATTCCATTTTTAGTGCTTTCAGTAAATTTCGTGTATCTCAGTCAAAGTTCAAGCTTTAGGGCTAAAAATTTGGAACTATGCCTAATAAAATACCCTCTATAATATGGGATAGATGCCGGTAAAATCGGCGACATCGATTGAGCAGCCCTGGTTGTCGTTCTCGTGCAGTGACTCTTATGTATGTTTTATTGTCCGTTGCATGTTGTTATTATTAAGTAGTTTCCTTCATATACTTTATTACATTGAAATATAAAGTTTCATAGAAATCTGTTTTTAATTAGTTTTGAATGGATAAAAGTCATTTATAAAAATTCTACCTAAGTATTACTCGTATTTTTAGATTATTCATATCGATTTATCGAATAAAGTTTTTCGTGTACAAAAACAAAAAGGAATTAGTTCTATCGAAATGTCGAATTCAACATCACAAACGGCATCGTCATCATCATCAAATACTGGAGTAAAACGGTCAGCTGCCTTTGATTTAGATGAGCAAACGAAAAAAATGAAGATAGAAACGCCTACATTGGAAAGAAAATGTTCGGTTCAACCTGTTGCAAAAAATATTCCGACGAATTTTGTTAGTGCACGAACATTGATGAATGCACCTATTCCAGAAATCAGCGACGAAGAACTGTTAGTATTTACGCTCGAATTTGAACGTAAACATAGTATCAACTGATATTTTGATTAGCTATAACAGAAAAAAGAATAAACAGTTTTTCTTCTTGTTTCTTTGTGCATGCTCATTGGGTTTTATGTTTTTTTTCTATATCTTAGTTTTAAGATGAAAAATTATTGTTTTAACTACACTAGTGTTAAAATAGAAAAAAATAATCAAGAATATTCTGTTTTAGCAATACATTCGTTTTTTGTTTCAACTTTTAGATCAAATCAAATTAGCCGTAACAATTATTCTTTTCCTTTTCTGACAGAGGTGTTAATTGGCATTTATTGATCGACTTATTGAACAAACATCACACGTAAGATGTTATCATTATATATATATATATATTTCAATATCATTCAACGTGATTACTTTATATAATTTTTAGATACGTATATTCGTAAATTGAACAGAATTTCATAACGAAAAGCAACTATTCAAACAAGACGACAATGGATCACATTGAAGAAAATCAGGATGCTACACCATTAGTTATTTTTAAAGGATGGCCAGTCGATTTTGATGATGAAGAATTTCGAGCTGGATAT